GGCTGCATCATTCTCTGATCAACCCTTTGAAGCCTTTTTCTCTGTTTGGTATGCACATAGTTTCTTGTGAACAGCACTGCCTGAGAGGTATCAAGGAGATACCATGCTTTACTCAGGGGAAAGAACCTAAATTTTTCTTGTATTATATGACTGGCCTTTTTTTCAACCCTCCCACACACACCTGTTCTTGTTGACAGCTCTACTACATTGTCCATAACAAATAATCTGATAACTAAACCTCAACCTTGTATTTGATAGTGATCTGGTAAAAATAAATGAGTAAATAAACAATCTTAATATTTAAAGCAGGCTGTGTAAAATAGGAAAGAGTCTTTCAGAAGGACTCTTCTGAGATAAAAGACCAGGGTCTTCAAAAGAAACAGTTTTTGCTGATTGATTAGTTCAGAGATTTTATACCTATTGAAATATTTTTCAACCTAAAACAGGATTTCCCTTCAGCTCTTCTAGGGGATATGTAGCTCAGTGGGAAAGTGGAAGGTGGTAGGTCCATTAATTGCTCCTTCTTGCATCTGTCTCTGTAGAAGAATACAGCAGTGTGAGACTTTCCTCTCCTAGCCCTGGAAAGAGACAGTGCTTGGCTTCACCTTGACAACCCTGTTCCTTTGGTGGGCAGTGAAGCACAGATTTTTCTTCTCACTGGGATTCAGGAGGGGTGTAAAATTATTGGTAGGAGTGTAAGGTTTTTGTGTTTGGTCCTTTCCTTCCTCCTACCTTATGTGCTTGAACCAGAGCTGGCTGGTATCTGTCAAACAGCAAGACAAGCAGTTGCATGCAATATTAACAAGCTGGAGGTAGAAGCTGGTGATAATAGTGCCAGACTGGAAAAAGTTTCAACAGTTGAATTAAACTTCCAAGAGCAGTGATTAGGTAAACTCCCACTGTTTTGTTTTTCTTATGCATAACATTTCCTCAGTTTTCTATTACTGGATGGCTACAGAAATATGAGAATCAAGGAGAAGAGTTTCACAAAACCTAAGTGAATGTATGGCTGGAGGAAAAAAACTCAGTAAAAAACAGTTATTCCTACCCTCCAAAAAAAAAATCCCAACTTAAACAAACAAACTCTATTAGCTCAGGAGCTATGGGGTGCTGGTTTTGGATAGGATACAGTTAATTTTCTTCATAGTAGCTTGTATGGTGCAGTGATTTGTATTTATAATTTTTAAAAAGTGTTGACAACACCCTTGTGTTTTATGTTTTATACAATCACACAATCACAGAATAAGGTGAGTTGGAAGGAACCCACAAGGCTCATCAAGTTCAAATCCTGGCCCTGCACAGCACCATCCTCAAGAATCACACCATGTGCCCATGAGTATTGTTCAAACACTTCTTGAGCTCTGTCAGATTGATGTTGTGACCACTTCCCTGGGGAGCTGTTCCAATGCCCAACCACCCTCTGAAGGAAGAGCTTTTTCTTGATACCCAACCTAAACCTCCCCTGACACAACTTCAGGCCATTCCTTGTTGCTGGTCCAACAGAGAAGAGACCAGCATCTGCCCCTCCTCTTCCCCTCAGGAGGAAGCTGTAACTGCAATGAGGTCTCCCCTCAGTCTCCTCTTCTCCAGGCTGAGCAGACCAAGTGACCTCAGCTGCTCCTTGTATGGCTTCCCACTGAGGCCCTTCACCATCTTTGCTGCCCTCCTTTGGGTACCCCTCTGAGAGTTTTCTTACATTGTGGCACCCAGAACTGCCCCCAGCACTCGAGGTGAGGCTGCCCCAGCTCAGAGCAGAGCAGGACAATCCCCTCCCTTGCCAGGCTGGCCATGCTGGGCCTGATGCCCCCCAGGACAGGGTTGGCCCTCCTGGCTGCCAGGGCACTGCTGAATCATGTTTATCTTGCCATCAACCAGGACCCTCAGGTCCCTTTCCACAGCACTGCTATCCATCTTCCCCTTTCCAGCATCCAGGGTTGCCCCATCCCAGGTGCAGAATGCAGCACTTTCCCTTGTTGCACTTCATGTGGTTGGTGATTGTCCAGGCCCTTCATTTGTTGAGGTTTCTGCAGGGCCTCTCTGCCTTTGAAGCTCCTCTCAGTTTTATATCATCTGTGAATTTGCAGTCCTGCATCCATGTCATAAATGCAGACATTGCACAGGGCCAAGGATGGGGCCCAGTGGAACTCCACTAGTGACAGGGCCCCAGTCTAATGTCACCCCATTCCCTACAACCCTTTGTGCCCAACCCATGAGCCAGCTCCTCACCCATTGCAACTTGTATTTATCCAGCTGGACATTTTGTCCAGAAGGATACTTTGAGAAACAGTATGGAAAGATTTACTGAATCCCAAAAGAATGACATCAACTGTCTTCTTTTGATCAACTAGGTGGGTTTCCTTATCACAAGGAAATCAGGCTTGATAAGAAGATCTCTCCTCTCATGAAGCTGCGCTGGCTGTGACTGATAATGAAATTATTAAAATCCAAATTTACTTATAATTATCCCAAAAGCATGCAACAAGACACAAATTGCACAACAGTTGGCACTGTGTTCCATAGCTGTGAAGGCAGGAATTTCTTCAACTTTATTTCTATTGTAAGAGCTTATCTGTTAGGTTATGGAGACCCAAAATGCTGTGATAACCCCGCAGTTTCATTTCTGGAGTTACTAGCTGGAAAAACAATGATGAGAAGACATGAAATCATGAATGAGGAGTTAACCACCAATAGGAGAGATTTCAATTTCCCTCTAATCCCTTTCTTTGCTGAGACATGTCTGATTATTCCTGTTGTGTTATCCTTTTCAATTCCCAGCAACATAATTACCAGCACTGCTTTTACAATACCCATAACTAAAGTTTTGCAATATGGGAAATGTCAACAAGGTGCATTTTGTCGGCATCCCCTAGTTTTATTAAACACTCCTTGAAGGGGCAAAACTTTATCCTGTAGTATTTAAAGAATCTCCATGTAGAAATAGATTTTTAAACAAGATGTAATGTGATATTCCACATTTAAACAGGTTTACTTTCCAAGTTCAAATAGAGTTGTGAATGAAATCCCTGATCCTCTGCTCAAAACATACTACAAGCATCCTAATTCTGAAATTACATCCTAGCAATTTAAACTAGATCCAACTCTTTCATCTGTTTAGTCCTTTACAAAACCTTTATTAAAAAACACTTAAACATCACATGAGAAAAAACTGCTAACAACAATAACCTCAACTTCTGTTGCAGCTCAGTAGTAACAACACTTAGCTTAAAAACTAAATTTTGTGGGTACTGCTATTTGCTTTGGGAAAAAAAATTGTATACTGCATGAATTGTCAAAAATTAGATCTATCAGTACTAAACTGACAGTAATAAATAGAATGCAAAAGACCGGAAAGTTGGACATCAGCAGAAAGAAATGACGCAAACCATGCATATGTGAATGGTTATTTGTAATGGGAATGAACTACATTATTTATGTAAAACAGATTATTTACTATGCCTAAACATGTTGTTACATGCCAGGATATTGCATGGTTTTTTCTCCTGGTGCACTATTGCAGTCTGTATTAGTCTTGTGAAGTTCTCATTTATTTTCAGGAAACATTTAACATATTCCTGCCATGTTGCATAAAATTCTGCCTGAGAGGAAGGCAATTACATCTGCCAGCTCCTTGTGTGCTGAGTTTAAAGGCTCCAGACAGCATTGCTTAAAAAAGCTCTGTTGAAGGACAAAGGCCCAGCAGCCATCCCCATCTGTCCCACTGCTGTGCAGCCCCACAGCCACCAGCAGTGTCACAGGCTGGCTCGGAAGCATGGGCCTAAGTACCTGTTTGCCGTTCTTCCACACCTGAGATAACCCTGGGAAAGGAGCTGGGGAAATCAATAATGCAAACAGGGATGCTTCTAGAGTCAGGAACAATTCCAGGCCATGTGAAGTGCCCGAGGCCCTCCTCTGTCTCCTTAGAGGCAAACACTAAAACTTACCTTGGAGAGCATCCCTTTGCCAGAGCTTCCCCACCGCAGAGAGGAGCACGATCACTGTGCTCACCGTCCCACAGCAGCGAGAGGAGCTGCTTCCCCTTGATTTGAGCCTGTAAAATACCATGTGGACTTTTCAGAAGCTTCTCTGATAATCAGCCCAAGGAAGCTTGAGCCCAAGGAGTGGGAATGCTCTCCTCTCCCAGAGGAACCACCTGTGGCACGGGGTCATTCCTGTTACTCATTATAGCTGACACACCGTACAGCTCACTATACCACAGTGCTGCACAATGTTGCCTGTAGCGGAGGTATCAGACATAGCTGAAGAAATCATGCTCCTTTTTTACATCAGGAAGAGGGCAGCTGTGTCACTGAGGACGACATTACAGACGTCAGGAGCTGTGGTTCAGAAAGTCTGGCCCTGTGGCTTCTGAATCATCTGCTCCTGTGGCAGCACTTGGTGCCAGCCAAGCCCTTTGGCAATGCCGGCAGCCCCTTGCCCTGAACATTTGTGGCTGAGGTGTAACATGATCACCGAGCTCCAGAGCAAGGGACATCATGAGCCAATGGTGGTGATCACTTAGACATCACCGAATATCTGTTCAATTTGTAAATAGCCACCTCATTAAATATGCCCCATTTCAGCACCAAAAAAAAACCATTCTAGATTCTCATTCCTAATTCACTTTGTGGTCAAGACAAAAAATCTGAGCAGCTATCATAGCTTTCCCATAATTTGGACATGCCAGGGGCCACTCCTAATTTTTAGAGCATTCACAGATAAAAAGAAATATTTTATATTTCATGTAAATAACTTAAGATTTACTAAAGGCATTCCAGATTACTGAAGGGAAGAAAATGAAGGTGATGAAAACTCTTGCTGAGGCTGCAGAGGAGCCTTGGCTTGCAGTAGTGTAAGGATGCTTTTCATGTGACCTTGTCCTTCCAGATAAACTCTTGGTGAGAATGACAGGCTGCAAATGCTGAAGCAAGAAGCAAAAGTGAAAAATACAATAGGAAAGAGCAGAAAGTAGACTAAGTATGTGCACAAGCTGCTCTGAAGGACTTCACCGGTGCTTTATCAGGAAAAAAAGTATTCTCTGAGACTATTTGAGGAAATTATATTCCATGGTTTTTCTCAATCTAAGTGAAAGCATAAACTGTCTATACTTTGTAATGTGATGCTGTTTTAACACTGAAAGGAAGTCTATCACATGCAATACCACAATAAGGAACATCCTAGGCAAAAGGAGATTTTGGGGAAAACACATTTGATGAAGCTGAACCTAGGTGCAGGTGAGGGGGGTTGAGGATACAAAAAATATACATAACAGTAGGGAACTAAGAGCAAACTTCAGAGGTATCAAGGGACTGTGGGATTACAGGTTCCCTCACATGTCAGGGGGAGCTATTCAGGGAAAGGCCTTTACTGAACAAATTAGAAGTGTTAAAACCATTTTTTCAAATTAAAAAACATAATCTATTTCAAAATCTTTAACAATAAGTCTCACTTCTGGCAAGTGGCCACAGAAAATATATTTCAAAATAAAAAGCTTGCTATTACAGAAAACTTGTGACTTCATTTTGGAATTATGAAATATCATGATTCCATCATGTACTTTGAAACATTTAATCTTCACACTATAAGAAGAGTTACTTCAGGCTACATCAAAATTACTAGTGCTTAAGGGACCAACTTGAAGGGAGAAGTGGCAGAACAGGCAGAGTGACTTTGTCCCCTGGCAAACAAGTGTCCTGCGTCAATGGCAAAGGATTTCAAACAGATGTCATCTAATATTTGCAACTAGTAATTCCTCCTTTTCTGATATCATCTGACTTACTTTCCTCCCTGTGGTATCTTAAAAAAATAGTGTATTTCTTACTATGCTAGCCTTGGTTTTGATGGTACTACTTTTAAAAGAGTTTCCTCAAAGCCTGATGAGAAGGAGCTCAGGCTCAGAAGAGAGTGAACAAACTAAACAGATTTTAGGAGGGATGGTAGAAGCCATTTCCCACGTTGTCTATCTTTCCTTTTACATGTAAGACAGTGCCAGTTTCATAATGAATTTAATAGAAATGCTGCCATTGAGTTCACTCTCCTACAGTAATTTTACATTGTCTTTGAGAAAGTTTTAAAACAACTTTTCCTTGATGTGACACTGATCTTGCTCTTCTGAGAAGCAGATATTTTTGTTACCCCTGTGACCGATTCCCTGAAATGATTTACAAAAATTTTCTCAATAGGGACACAATAGGGAAGATATGAAACATGGAACAAAAAGTAATGGAATTCCAGAAATGTTAAAGAAGCATTCCAACCATTTTTTCATCATCATCATCATAAGCCAGGAAAATCAGCTTTGTTTTCCTGACTGTTTTCAGGCTTTTTATTCTGCAGATGTTCTCTGTAGACCCAAGAGAACTGGGAGCTCTGGATAAACCACATGTCCAACACATCAATGCTCCTTTCAAACACACTGTTTCCAGGGAAAAAAAATTAATCATGAAATTTCATGAGCTCATGAAATTTGCTGTCTAAGCAGGTCTTGCAACCCCATCACATAGGAGAAAAAATTGACAGCTGTCAACTTACCCATCAGATGGCAAAGCATGCACTGACAGTGGTCATGCAGCTGCATGAATCTCTTCATTCTTTCATCAGGCAAGTGAAGTTCTACCAAAATCAATGGAGTTACAACAGTTTAAAACATATGCAATGGCTTTCCGAGGGCAAGAGGGTAGAGCAGAACAAAAAGACGAGTCAGGACTAATAATAGCAATAATAACAACAACAACAACAATAATAATAATAATAATAGTAATAACAATAATAATTTGTCCTAAAAATTGTCTGGAGTTGAAAGTAAGTGGGGAGACAAAATTCCTCATTAATTCAAATTGACTTTAGCTACTGGCTTTGTTTGTCAATAAAACATGGTGACCACATCAATGTCGTAAAACTTTCTCCTTTTTTAATCTGTTTTCAAAAGTGTACACTGCTCTGGAGGTGTGAGAGGTGAAATTTATTTTGAGAGGAGGTATAACATTTTCTATGCTCAACACAAAACCACAGTGATTTTTATTAATTTGTTATTGATACTCTCCCAGGGGTCAGGCATTGCAGCTTGTTCCAGCATACTGACACAAATGTTCAGGCAGGCAGAGAGTCACTCAGATCACAGACAGGATCCTAGTGAAAACTATTCAATTCCTTTGGTGTCTTATTTTCCAGCTAGATCCCCTCCCCAGTCTGACATAACGGCTCAAACACCAGTGCTGACACACATGGGAAGTGGTGAGAAAAAGTGACTAGTGGCAGAAGTCAGCATAGAGACTGGCAGTGATACTCTTTTGGTAGCATCCTTCTCACACTTGTACCCATTTGGTAGCATGTCCCCATTTCCCAGGACTTAGCAGGGTTCATTGAAAGAGCTTTAAACTAAATTTGTATAATAAATAACCCCGGGGGCAGGGCACTAATGTTTGATTCTATGTTTCTCTATCAGCTTGTAACAGTTGTGGAACTACATGCTAAATGTTATGCAGAAAGCAGCAGATTTCAATAAATAGTTGTGTGGTACACAGGCTAAATGGAAGATTTAATGTGCAGTTGGTAACAGCATGGAATCTCCATGAAGCGTCTTCTATATGACTTTTAAAAAAAAATAGTGGAATGACAAATTTTAGAAAGCAGTAGTTTTGCAAAATGTATGAAGTATGTAACATCCCACAAGAAAAATTGCATAGACTATTGCAAGCAGATAATGAAAACAGTGTGAAATTAAATACAAAAGTTTAATTTATCCTTTCTTAAAATGCCTGTAATTCTGTCCAAGGCCTATGCTCTCTGCTCATGTTTGCCAATTGTTCCTGTATTCACAGGGAATAAAGTCAATATCCCTTGTTGCCTTCACGTAGGCACGTTTTGAAAGTCTAGGCACTTTCAAAATACTAACAAGTCCAGACAAAGAGTATCAGAAAAAAGTAGACCATAGAGATCTCAATATTTGAGTATTTGTGAGTAACAACGAAAATCTATGTAAGAGCAGCAGGGAGTGATGATTGATGATGCTGAGCTAAAGTACAAAGGGAGATTCCCAAGAAGTTCCCTCTCCACACCAAAACTGCCATTGTCACACGTGGCTGTAGCGTAGAGAAGGGCCGGGTGTAGCGTCAGCTGCAGGGAAGAGCTGGGGGAAGTTCTGGGGGAATGGTTTCGTTTCAGAGCAGTTCAGCTTGACTGCTTCTGGTTTTTATTTTTAACTTCTGGTCTCACACGTAATTTTAACATCAGCAGGTTGAGTACATGTCTGAGTACTGAGTAGAGTCTGCATTTTTGATGTGCGATACCAGGGGACTTCACAGTGAGGAGCACCTGACCAGAGCAGGCAGAGCTGCCAGGCACACACAGACCCCCTGACAAGAAAAGGGTATGTGAGAGCTGGTGTGTTGCACAAGAAGCTCTTGCACCTGTACAAAAGAAACTCCAGGGAGAGGAGCTTTTTCCCCTCAGGAAGCAGGTATGACTCCCAGGTAGTCAGGACCCTTTGCCAGGGAGGACCTGCCACCCAATCCTCCTCCGTTTCATCACAGGAACCAGCTCTTCCTTCCAAGAAGCAGCCCATGGAGGAAGTGAGGCCTTCACCTCCGCCCAGGCTTACTCAACAGCTCTGGGGTCAGGGTGTCCCTGGAAATCACTTTCTATTTCTGCCCAATGTCTGAATATTTTGTATTACATACTTGAGCAAACTTCCCTTGGAATCCAGGTCAACCCACTGAGGTGGCACACAGGCTCCTGATACTCTCTTTCTGACAAAAAAAATGGTTCACTTTAAGAGGAGGGATAAAAAACATTTTGGCCAATATTCTTCTTGGGAGTTGGGAGACTTTCCTGTAAAGGAGTAAATCTGGGTTCATAATCCGTTTAAATAAGGAAGGGATATGATTCAACATCTCCCACATCCTGGTTGAGCAATCTAAACAAAAAAGCATCAGACCATTAACTGACCATCTGAAGGAAAAAATTTGTTGGACCAAGACCACTCAGATCCTCTGGTGATGGACCAAAGTCTTTATAGCTAACCTGGCCCCCAGGACACTTTTGCTGCAAGAACAGCAGTGTGAGAAGAATGAATATTACAGATCCAGCACAGCCTATTAATCCTATTATAGTGTGCTAGCATGCAATTCAAAAGGGCTCCTGCTATGGTAAGTATGTTCCCTTTCACAAATTTGGTTTAGAATAATAAAGAAGTTTGCTAGAGCTCACCCAGAAAGGAAGAAAGACTCAAATCCCACAGTGTGAAAGGCACTTTCTGAGTAGTGATACTCAGTTTTCTCAACAAAATGGTATGACTGAAGTGGCAAACTCCACAGCAGCTTCACTGTGTCACTACAGGATCCTTGAGCTAGAAAACCTTTATTGAAAGCACACAACACTTATTCTGCATCTTGGTTTTCCAGTTTGCATCTGCTAAAAGCAACTTCCAGCACACATAAAGTGCCATTGAAAAGTTACTTCCCAAAATGAACGTACTGAAGCCTTGCATCTCATTCCAACAGTGGAGTTATACTCCACACCAATACTTTTACCACTGATACCACCCACCTTCTGTTCTCTCTACAGAAAGAAACTGCTGCTTTCCAGGAAAAAGCATAAAAACTTTGTTACATGACTTGGCTTTTGTATAGGTAATTTACAAAGTTACAGAAAGGCAATCACCAGGAAAAGCAGAAAGAGAATGCAAGAGAACGCAGGGCTAAATGTCAAACCAAGCAAGACAACAGTCTGATAATGAGATTATGGGCACAAAAACATTGGGCATGGACAAGGGTAAACATAGCTGGGTTTACAGATGTCTCATGGAACGACAGATGAGCTTTTATTTAAGAGTGAAATAGATCCTCTTTACTGAGGTGAGCTAGACTTGGTATGCATTCATGAGTGGGATTATAATCATTGACACCCTTCAGTTTCCTTTGACATTGAGCAAGTTCCTTGGAGGGAAAACCCCACTTTTGAATGCTTTGTAAAACACAATCTACATCTAATGTTCCAGGTTAATGGTACATTAAATGTAAACACATGTCAAAATATCAAACACTAAAGATAAATACTTACACTATTCAGTACCTCCCATACACTCAGGCTCCTCAATGTGTTCTCTTTTCAGCTCTGAAATACCTTACTCTTCTTCATTATATAACTTCTTTGAATTTTCATCTTTCATGCTTAGAAAGCAAGCTCAATGGGAACTGAGAAGTTCCTTAAACACAAGTGGAACTTACAGTCAATTAATTTTTAAAAACAGACAGAGATTTCTCTAAAAGTACAGCCCTACAATAATTCAAAACACAATGCTGACAAAATGGGATCCCTGTCAAAACCGTGTGCTGTCATTGTGGGTGATGCTCACAAAACAAGCCAGACAACAGCATGCTGCTTGTGAAAGACCCAATTAGTATTTCTAATTTGTCCAGCTCTCTGCTCCAGTGTCTCATGCAGCCCTAAAAGGGGGCACCACTCACCCCATCAGGCACACTATGCTGTGACAGAGACAGCAATAGCTACCTTCCTTCTGTGAGAAAAGTTCATCAAATTGCTTCCTAATATCATTTATCAGCACAGCCATGGCTGGAAATTGTTCCTAGTACAAATCTAGTTTCACTGCCAGGTGCCACAATATTCTCATTCCAGCATTAAAATGCCAGCAATCATTTTGACTTGAAGAACATTTAGCATTAGACTTGTTTTGTAGCATTCAGATATTCCCCAATAACCCTTATATTTAGGACCTCTTTCACCTAGGGACTGTATGGCTGGAAGTTGTCTGCTGTAAGTTGACTAGAGAAGACCATAGCAGTATTTATCTTCTTGAAATTGAGCAGATAAAGATGAAAACCAGAACACAATTTAAAGGTAAGTACAAATTTTTACTCTAAACATCTGATTTAGCTTAAGGCAAGGAAATCCATGGTATTTGCATATGATGCACTCAAGAAAAAAAAAAAAATCAAATCTTACTACACATCTTAGTCTTGTTTAAAAATGATGCAAGTCTTCCTTTAGGAAAGAAAAATGCGCAATCCCCAGAGCTTTTCACCAAAAAATCCCCAAACAACTTTGCAGTTACCTGGCAAACAACCAACAGAGAAGCAAAGAACTTGCCAAGCCACAAAAGTGATGGGTCGCTAGTCAAGTGCACCAGGCTCTCTGGTGACATGCAGCTTGTCAAAGCAATGTTTGCTTATGAGAAACATGAACGCAGGGCATTACTCACCTGTTCAACCTGTTTGCTCCCAATACAGCACAGGGCAGCTTGGTTTAACATTACAAAGATCTTTGACACTCTTTACAGGATCTGTAGGAATTCAAGTTCCCTCATTACAAGCTTTGAGGAATTCTACCAAAAATATGTCAGGGGAACCAGACACCAGATTTCCTCCTCATTCAAAATATTTGGAAGTCATTTGCGTGATTTTTAAGTGATTGTCATGATCCTACTTCTGACAGTTGGCACTTTCTTCCACACACAATCTAACACTTACATAGAAGAACACCACATTTTCAGTTGTATTTCTTCTCTTACTACCAACAGTACTATTTTAAGTCATAATCCCCAAATTACTGGTTTTCTTACTACTGTAAAATAGTGGAGATTATTAGAAAGAAAAAGACGATCAAACCAAACTCACAGATCAGAGTGAAACTTACTGCAACCCTGGTAATTCTACTTCATTGAATGACTTTATTTTTCCATCTAGGAATGACATTTATGTTGACTCACAACACTTGGCAAGCAAGGTCTCCTGCTGCTGCCAATGGCACTGGATTTTGCCCTGGCAAAATCCACATGGTAGGGCTCCTTGTAGACACGCCTGATATCTGACAGAAGAGGCAAGACAAGCTTTGACCATGACAGCTCTGCAGTTTGTTGAACTCTTCGGTGGCAAGAGCATTTCCAGGTTGGTGTCACCCACCTCTCCTGAAAACAGGCTCCTCCTTGCAAACCTCCCAGGCTACCAAGAGCAAAAGTGGCACAAGTTTGCTCCCAGGCAGAGCAGCTCTAGAAGAAAGAGAATCTTTTCCAGAATGGGTCAGTGAGTTGCACATTGATCCTAACAGAAACCACACATGGGGTCATCCTGGATTGGCTATAAATAGACAGGAATAATTTTCATGCATGACAGTCGGATAGATTTTTTACAATGTTCAGAAATGGTCCCTCTGTTCCTACAGAAATGTGCTCATGTCACAGACAGAAGAAAAAGTTGGTTAAACACTAAGAATTTCTGAAATCCCACCTTAGAAAGGATGCAGCCATCTTGTTCACAGTATAAATGAAAAGAAAAAGAAAAAAATTGTACAGCAAAATGAAGTGCAATAGAAATAAAAGGATGCAGGAAGAGCAATCTGCAGTATTACAAAGATGACATGCAGAAAAGAAATTCCTTGGCATCCAAAGACTATGAGTTAGAGTCTCAGTACTAATACTCCTACATTTTAAGTACCAGGCAGATCTCCTGATCTGTAGGTAACTCATGAGCGAGTGCTGCTTGTTTGGGGCTTACTGAATTTTGAACAACGTGACAACTGATGAGTCACTGTAATTCAGTGCAGTACAGTACAGACTAATTAGTAATACAGTGCAGACCTCCTTTAAGCCCTCCCAAAAATTAAACGTTATTATTGATAGATCAGTGCAAAAGTATTTGTTCTGTGTACAGTACCTATTAAATAAGTGATTTTCCATAAGAAACTGTCCAAACTAATAGAAGTATTCTAATGCTATTGTGCAAATTCCAGTTCCTTTTTCCTTTGAATGCTATGCTTTGTCCTAGATTATCAAATGGAGTTTCTAAGCCATTAATTAGCACCTTTCACTGGAGCATGTAAGTATACTTTGTAATTCTGAAAAGTCACATGGACATTCATATAAAAAAGTAAACAAAACCCCAAAATGAGAAAACAGTAACTGAAGGCTTAGATACTTTTAGAATCTTTTAGATTGAGGATCAGTTGAACCTTTCTTTTATTTCACTCTGCAGATGCAACTACACACATCAGCAGGACTGTATAACAGTGATCAGCATAAAAATGTTCTCTGAAATTTTCTAAGGAATAGAGACTTTCATGACACAATGAGAATATGACAACTCAAAAAATAAATTTACAAAATTAAGAATTACACAGCTATAGACAAGACTAAATTACAGAATGCTTGCTGAAAAGATATTATTAAGAAAACACAGCCTTCTACCAAGTTTTCATCATTTTAAGAATAGTATTTTCACTGGGGTTAGGTAAAGGAAAAGTTTGACTGTCTGCAGGGAACAGCCTATGAGTCGCCTGGCAGCGGAAGGAAATCCCTGAGACATGTACATCCATGTGCTATCGCAAGTGGAAAAAGAAGTAGGCAGGAGTTCCCTCCCTCATGTATCTGCCTCTGATGGTTCTCCAAAAGCAAATACCAGGCTTTGAGCTCATCTGGCCTGGCTATTTTAATCCCTTAGCACATTTCTGTTGGATCTTTTCAGTGATAAAAGCCAAACGTACTGCTAGTGGCCTGCTTTCTTCTATACCTAACACCGCAGACCCGACATTACAGCAGATACTGTTTTGGCCATGTCTCCCCTGCTGCACTCAGGGACCTGGGCAGAGACAGATTGCTGCTGTTGAAAACTGCTGTCACACTTGCATTCCAGCTCTAATATCTCTCCACTGGGCAAAATCACCACAGCTGCTTTTCTGTTACTGGCAGAGAGAGAGACATTAAATAAAAAACAGTAGTACCCTGCTTCTTTCCTGAGGTTCTCTTTTCAGGCTGTTCTTAGAAAATGAAGTAGAAGTGTCTGGGGTATTTTTCAGTTTCTGTATTGTCTCTAACACTTCAACACTTCTCTTATTCCCCACGTTTTGTTCTCCTCACTCTGTACCCTTCTGTTAGCAGTTTCCAATGCAGACTCTGGTCTTCCGTTTGTGAGAAAACATAACTGATTTCAAATTTTAAAAAAATTAAAATGCAGTTTGGCCAAAATCAGTTCAAGACATTCCACAAGTTCAATGTCAGCATGCCTTACACAGTTTGACAGCCTGCATTCTACAAGATTGATCTCAACAGGCACACTTGCCCTGGGTGAAGAGTCCCCCTGAAAGGTTAAAATTCCTGCAACAGCTACCAGGTAGGCAGAAAGAGATAAGGCAGCAGATAACAGGGAACTTTGTGGCATTTCCTGCAGCCACCCTCCCGTAGGAGCTGGCTTTGGTCCATTTAAAGCATTTGATATATTTAATCCTACCCACACGTAGTTCACTCAGAAAGAGGCAACTTGTGACTTGTACTACCCAGCACCTAAACAGAGGCGTTTAGTTTCACATATACAAACAATAAAAATAGCTAAAATATAAAGATACATCATACAAAATCCATAAATCATTCAACCACATTAAAATATTAAGATACACGGAAGTATACAGCATATACGGAGTATGTGTGTATATCCGTAGGTAGGCATGGATGATTTCCAGGAGTTTCCGTGGGGCTGGAGTTGGCAGGTTCGGAGGAAGCCGGAGCGGGGGGGCTGCAGCCCCGGCCGGGACCCCGCGGGGCAGGTGAGCCGGCGGTGGCTGCGGGGGGCAGCCCGGCCCTCAAGG